GGCAGTGGATGCGGAGCCGTCGGGTGGGCTGTGCTGGCTCAAGCAGTGGAGTGGCACCGCCGTGCCCGCCGTCGGCCACGCCTCTGGCACCTTTAGCCGGGAGGCGGCGTGCGGGTGCGAGCTCATCGCCGCCTCGCGGCTAGAGGAGTCTCCATTGCTAGCCGAGGCCACAGCTCGGTCTCCGGCAGGTTGCGCGCCACTTTGCTTGCGCGACGTGGCGTGCGCTGGCTTTGATTGGGCGCCCAGCGTGGCGTGGGGCGGCGGCGTCTGCCGCCTCCGCCGCCGTCCGCCTGTCGCTCATTTTGTGCCATTGCCCGCGGCCGTGGCCGGCGGTCGTGAGGAGACAGCGGGAGTGGTGCGGCTCAAGCGGCGCTTGTTGCTGGTGCACAATCATCCGCCGCACCTCGGCTTTGGCAGCGACCGGCGGCTGCTCGCCCTCGCCCAGGCCCTCGTGGATTCGCGCTTCCACCTCCTTTTTGTGGGCGCCGACGCGGCGGGCAAAGCAGGTCGCTCGCAGGGCAGAGCACAGCTGCTGTCCATCGGGGTGGAGCTAGTGTCGGCCATCAGCGAGGTGGAGCTGACGCAGCTCGCGACGAAGCACGATGTGAGTGTTGTCATCCTTACCCTCTGGTTCTGGGGGGCGAGTGCGTCGATGCCGGCACGCTATCTCCGGATGTTGCGCACCTCTCTGCCACACCTCAAGATTGTGGTGATGACCGACGACGTACACCACTTGCGGCAGCGAGGTCTCGAGGCTCGCGCGGCGTCGACGCGTGGCGTGGCCCTCCGGACGGGAGCAGAGGCGGAGGAGATGAAGGAGGAGGAGCTCAGCCACTACTACCACGCTGACCACGTGCTTACCATCTCGGATGTCGATCGCGGCTCTATCCTGCAATCCCTCCGGCCCGGGCGACGCATACACCCGCGCCGCTTCTCCACTCTGCGGCACGTCTTTGGTGAAGCGCCGCATTTCCCGCTCGCCAGCGCGCCGCCGTTCCGCGACCGGCGAAACGCCCTCTTCGTCGGCAACATGAACAATCCGACGAACGTCGACGGGCTTACGTGGTTTGCCGACGCCGTGATGCCGTTGCTTCTGCAGCGACAACCCTCGTTTCGGCTGCGCGTCGTTGGCTCGTGGGCGGGGGGTGGGGAGGGGGTGGGGGCGTTGCGGCGCCGGCTCGAGTCGCTCGCGGCTGTCGATCTGCTCGGCTACATCGACGACGTCGGTTCGGAGCTGCGGAGTGCGCGGCTACTCGTTGTCCCCATCCGCTGGGCGACGGGGATCCTGACCAAGCAGACTCTCGCTCACGTCCATGGGCTGCCCACCGCGATCACGCCAGCGGCCGCCGCGCACGCGGCTCCGGAGCCGATCGACCCTGCTGGTTTTGCGCGAGTCTGGAGCCACCGGCAAGGGGGCTACGATACGGCGCGCGTAGCGGCCGTCGGCGACACTGCCGCCGCTTTTGCCGCCGCTGTCCTCCACTTGCACGGCAATGCGTCCGCGTGGGTCGAGATCAGCGCGGCGGCGGCGCGCTTCGCCAAGTCGGGGGGCGGGGGGCAAGGAGTGTGCCCCGAGGCGCTGCGGCGGGACGTGGAGGCATTCTGGGCTGTGATGGAGGAGACCGCCTGCTTTGTACGTTAGCGGCCAGTGTTGTGTCAGTCTTTCGGTACCGTACGTTACTCCGTCGTTAGCCCACTCGACTCGTATTGCGGTTTGTGGGTTTCTACTAGAGTTTGCGCCGTCTCGCGTCTGCGCGGTGATCTGACTATGCGCATCGCCGGGATTCACACAGTGGACAAAATTCTTTTCACGAGAGAGAGACAGAGACAGAGAGAGAGAGAGAGCGAGAGACATCTCGCTCCTCGACCCTGCTCCATCGATTCCACTCTGCCCGCTGCTCCCCGCTTCTCCGCTATCGCCTCCGCTCTCCACTTCCATCTGAGCCTCTTCCCTCACACACACACACACACACACACACACACACACACACACACACACACACACACAATCACACTTTCCGCCAGGGTGTTTTTTTCGTGGCGTTGATTGAAAGTGCCCAGATTTGGATTCCGTGCC